ATTTAATGGATTACCATCATCGAATTGAATTGAATTGAAAATGAAATAAATTTTCATTATAATTCTGGCTTCTTTTTTCTATTTTTTTTGTGGATGAAAATTCATAAGATTTAATGACGACGATGATTATTATGAAATTTTTGAAAAGGATAGTTTAAAAAAGGTCAAAGGTAAAGGTAGATATAGCCATAGACAACTCTTTTGTGTTTTTTTTAAATGTTTGGAAAATAACCCAATGAAATGTCAAAAGGAAAGAAAATGAAGAAAGACAGACTGAGAGAGAGAAAGAAATGAAAAGAAAAAGTAAAAAACATGTCCAAAAAAAAAAATTTGGTTCAAAAATATTATTACGGTCATCGAGGCCATATGGTCAACAAAAAAAAAATTTGATCTGATCTGATCTCTAAAAGTGTTAGTGCTGGTTGGAGCCGAAAGGTTTGTTGTCGATCATCATCATCAACAACATTGATCGAAAAACTTTCTTTTTATTTTCTTTCTTATATGTGTGTGGAGCCGCGTGAAATGTCGCGCGCTCGCGTTTTTTCTTGGCTCGAGCTTGTTGCGCACGTTTTTCGTTTTTTCGTTTTTTTTTTCTTCTTGGACAAAAAGTTTTTTATTTGCTGGTCATGTTTTTTTTGACCATTGGCGACTATATACGTAATACAAGACCACAAAATCGGACAAAACGAAACGAAAAAAACAAACCGAGTAAAAAAGCAATGGATATATCAAATGATGGTAGTAGTGGTCAAAGGTCATCATCATCATAATCATAATCATCAAAGAAGAAGAACAAAATACATCATCATCATCATCAAATGTATGAACGCCGGCTATCCATAGAATCATCATCATCATCATTTGAACATATATTTAGAAAACAAAACATGTGTGGCTAAGGTTTTATTTCTGGTGGTGGTCAACCTGGAACCATATCTATATAGACTCAGCAAAATGAAGAAAGAAAGTAAATTAGACATGAAGAAAGAAAAATCGAGGAGGATCTTTATGCTTGCTAGCCTGCTTGCTGGCTTGTAAGGGGAAAAAATATTTTTTTTTGTTTCGGTTAAACGACAAATATGAAGACTTTAACACACACACACACACAAAAGATTGTTAATTGTTTGACGCTTGACCGATATGATGATCGAGAAAAAATGTTGATGATGGAATATGATGATGATGATGAACTCCCCCTTCATCATCGCTATTAACCCTAGGTTCCCCCCATTTGGATGATGATGATTTGAAATCAGAGCAAGAGGTCAGTGTCTGGACATACAACAGTATGGATCACTCTTTTTGGCTTCGCGGTCAATTCAAAAATTTTTTTTCCCTTCTTCTTCTTCTTCTTCACATGGACATGGTTGAAGTCCATCATCACTGAAAATCTTGCCCTTTCCATCATATTATGAATAATAATTTTTTTTTATTGGATTTTTTTAAATTGGCAAAAATGCCAATGAAAAATATGTTCACACACACACACACCAAAGACATTGTATGGTCCATTTGAAATGGAGAAAAATTATTGAAATTTTTTCAGCTCTAATCATCATCATCACCGAGAGAAAATGAAAAATCTTAACCCGATGATCAATTTGATGATGAAAAAAGATCCAAAAAAAAAACTAAATGAGGCTGAACTAGAGAAAAAAATTGTCTGAAAGAATTTCTTAAAAGACGATATTCCAGTGAGAGAGAGAGAGAGAGGGAGAGAACGAAGAAAACGGAACTTCATAAAACATGATGAAATTATCAACCAAAAAAAACTTTTTTTATTTCACTGAGGGTTAAATGATTGATCGATTTTTTTGCTTGGTTCCAAAAAACATTTTATCATCATCATCATCGTCGGTGTTAACAATTTCATTTTTCATTTTTTCATTTTGCTTTGCTGGGTGCCAAAGTGTTGACTTTTTTTCACTCTTTCACTCTTTTACCATTCTGACTGATTGATTGATTTGATTTTTTTTTTCAGATTTCGGTGTAAAGAAAGAGGCTGTTGTTGTTGTTGTTGTTGTTGTTTTTCTAACCAAAACAACAACAACAACAACAACAAACATTGTTTAAACTTTTTCAAAAAATGGATCATTTAAAAATTTTTGGTTGTCATCACCAACACCAAATTGCCATCATCTTAATCGATATTCGGGGAAAAATTTATCAACACTTTACAAGAAAGTTTTTCTCCAGAAAAAAACATGTGTTTGCTCGGGACAGGAGAAAACATGTGTCCAAACATGTCCACTTTTTACATTTTAGTTTAATGATGATTTTTTCAGTTTTTGAATGTCCAAAATTTTTGTTGTTATTTTGATTTGTTACATACAGATGTGTTTTTGGGGTTTGTTTGTCGATCGATGATGAACATCGATATTTTCGTTTCTGAAAATGTTACACAATAAAAATTTAGAAAATGATAAAGGTAAAAGTTTTAAAGTGAAAGTTCAAGGTCCATAGACCAAAGAAATTGAATGAAACAAAAATTCATTTTTTGTTTTTTCTTCAAAATTGAATTTGTTTATTCATTTTCAGTTTGTTTGTCCCGATGTTGAATAAGAAACATTTTTCTTCATTTTTTGCAAATTGATTTTCAATTTGACATTCATCATCATCAATGATCGCCATGAATTTCAATTGAAAATCAATTTTCGGGCAGACACACTTGTTGTTGTTGTTGTTGTTCGCAATGGCCATTATGTCCGAAAAAAATGTTTATCGATTTTTTTAATGTTTTCTCCTTGTTCCAGAATGGAAAATTTATTGAAAGAAATGGGCACCGATTTCTGTTCCAAAGAAAGAAAGAAAAGAAAGAAAATTGAAATTTCTTTGCTGCTTTTGGTTAAATTTAGTAACAAATTATTAATGGACATCGTAGGTCATTGATGATGATGATGACGTAGACCGACCATTGACAACAACAACAACAACAACAACAAGCAAGAGGCAAGTGGACAACAACAACAACAACAAATTTTTGACCCAACAACAACAACAAGACAGTCGGGTAATGTAAAGAATGAATGAATGATGAAAACAACCGTTCCAAAAAAAAAAATTGTTTTCATCATCATCATCATCATCGATTAAAGGTGATGCATTATTCAATTTTACCTTATGGTCCTTACCAAAATGAAAAATTCAAATTCAAAAAGTTCAAATGAAAAGACAAAATATGTCATAATTGAATAACATTTGAATAATAATAATCAAACACATAAAATAAATTGATTCCTGAAAACTATTCTCGAAATATTTCCCGGGAAATTTATTTACCTGTTGACAATCTAATAAATTATTGAAAAAAAATTACATTTTTTCATGTTTCATTCCCCAAATAAACATGTTTATTTGATTTGATTTGTTTATTTTTGTCGAATAAAAAGGTAAACCAAAGAAGAAAGAAAGAAAAAACATTATTCTGCCCCCGAGATTTATTTTTTTTGATAGAATCCCCAGCTATGATGATGATTACGGTGATGATTAATGGCCCCAAAAAGAAAGGTGACGCTGGTTCCAATTGGTACCATTTTGTCGTCGTTGTTTCGTTTTGTTGTTTTCCTCATTATTTTCACGAGAAACTTTTGAATAACATTTTCTTCATCTAATTTAAAACTAATCAAAATTATCACCCAAAAAAAAAATTTATTGATAATGATTTATTGCTTTTGGAACACTATTTTTGTTTTGTTTTTTTTTGAAGAAAAGAAGAAAATATGTTCATTACTCGTGCCGGGTTGTTGTTGTTGTTGTTGAAAGAAAATTTTGTAACAAAACAAATAAGTTACAACAACAACAACAACCGAAAATTACATGACATCTTACAACAACAACAACAACAACAAGAAAATATTGACCTCTTATATGATGAATGGGCAAGAAAGGTTACAGCATTTTTTTCATGTTTTTGGAAAAACATTTTTGCTTTGTCAACGAAAAATTTCGAAATTTTCCTTTTCTTTCTCCCCATTCTCTAATGACCAAATGTGGACATTTAATTTTTTTTTTTTTTTTTTGAAATTTGAAAATGCTGGTCCTGGAATTAAAATCCCGGACAATCGAAAATGATGAAAGAGTTTTGTTTGGTTTGGTTTGGTTTTTCGTTGATCCACAAGTGACAAAAAAAAAGAAAAGAATGAGAAAAATTTCCCAAAATCAATCAGCATTCTTGACATATTTTTGTTCGATGACCAAGGCGAACCAAACTAACCAAACAAAACAACTCAATCTAAAAATTCAGGGTATCAGGTGTCAAATGAACCGTAATAATAATGATAATAGTTGGTTGGTCAATGAACCTTACCATTGATTGTTTGTTTGTTTGTTGTCTGTGTGATAGTAACCTGGACCTAAACCTTTTGGTAGATAATTGGTGGGCCAAACAACAACAGCAGTAGAGAAAATATTCACTTTCATTCATTCGTTTGACCACATAGGTCAATTGGATTTTTTCCAATCATTGAATCGATGATTATCATTGAATTGAATTTGAAACGAAATTAAGATATTTAAAATTTCATTTCGATCGTAAAAAAATGGTGTTTGGATGATCATCATTGATTTGGTCATGATTTTTATGGATTTTCATGGATGGATTTTATTGAAATCTTGTCATTTTGATGAATTCCAGAACGGCATTTTAAGGGAGAATTTTTTTATGTCCAGAAAAATGTCTCTTTTTGTATGAAATGTGAAACCAATGTTGTTGGTCATTCATTTTTTACGATGCCGAATCTCTGGATTTTTTTCGTCTTCTTCTGAATTTTAAGTGGTCCTTCTGAAGAAAAAAATGAATAAAATTTAACCCCATTCTTTCTATTTTGTTCAAAAAAAATTTTATTATTATCAATCAATCACGTGATCAACTTGTTGCGCATGCTATAAACTACAGAAAAATAAAAATAAAAATGGTAACAAGCGGCGCAATATGATCAAAAAAAAAAAAGACACTGTGTTGCGCTTGTTACAGTTTTTTATTATTATTATTATTTCGGCTAACAGTAGTCCCGTGTATATTGAAATGAAAAGAAATGATCGACCCTATGGACCGGCCTTTTATTTCTGTTATTTTGTTAATATAGTCCCGTGCGAAGACCAATCGCGAGCTTGTATTGTTTTGAAAATTGTCAGAAGAAAAGAAAAAAATACACACGAAAAAACTTTGAAAAAAACCCAATGAAATCGGGCAAGTATATAAATCGTGTAACCAGGTCCAAATCGAGATTCAGTTGAGTGTTTGATCGCGACACGAGTAAACAAACGAAAGACAACCGAAGAGAAAGAATTTTTCTTGGCCAAAATGACCAAAATTGCCTATATTCGTGCTACAAATCGACAATATCAACAGCAACAACAACAACAACAACAATCAATATCAATGAATCAATCGATATTGAAACCAACAATACCATCAATGATGCAACAACCAAGACCATCATTTCCAAATCCACAAACAACACGAATGATTATGATGAATAATCAGAATAATCCTCTGCCACCAAGACCAATGATAATGACACCAACAACAAGATTTAATTCAAATCCAAACATTCTATTAGGATTAGATCAACAACAACAAAATGGACAACGTATATCGAAACCATTAATGGAAAAAAGACGTCGTGCACGTATAAATCAATGTTTAACACAATTAAAATTAATTGTTGTCGATTCAGCTGGTCAATATACACAGAATAATAAATGTAAATTGGAAAAAGCTGATATTTTAGAATTGACTGTAAATTATGTTAAAAAATTACATCAAGAACATCAACAACAACAACAAGAAAAGTCAACAAAAATCAATGATAACGATTATCTATCCGGTTATTCGGAATGTGTACGACAAATATGTGAATATTTAACTAAAAATCAAACACAAATATCATATGATACGTTGAAAGATTTTCTACAACAATCATTATCGATTACATATCAACAACATAAACATCATGATCAACAAACGGCAACAACGTTCGTAACACCACCATCACCCGCTCCATCATCCGAATCAAATCATGGATGTTCACCGACCACAGCGGCAGCAGCAACAACAACAAGAATCAAAATCGAATCAAATTCTGAATCAATAAAATCCTCATCGATAATAACGAATAATTGCCGTAAACGTAAACGAATTAATGAATCAGATACTGATGATAATAATACTGATAATGACGAAGATTACTATTATGATTATGATGATGATGATGTTATCGATGATAATGATGATGATGATTTTGGTTATGGATCGGATCATCAGCAACAAGAAAATTATCCATTAAATTTGAAAATTGTTAAACTTGATAATCCGCAACCGAAACAACAGCATGGTTATTTTGATGATAATGATGATGTATGGCGTCCATGGTGAACCATAAAAATTCAATCGATTTTTGATCGATTTTTGTAAATAAATCAATTTTTTCTGTTATAAATTTTCTTGTTGTTTATGTCCATGAACTGTATTTATTTTTGATCAAATAAATAATTTTGGTTTTTAAAAGTACGAATTGCACGTGTTTCGTTTCGTTTTTTCATTTGCCGCCTTTCATTTATTTTAGCAGTAGAAAAAACTTGAAGTAAAGATTTTCTCCTTTTTTTTCTTCTTCTTTCTTGACTTTGACCCATATTAATCAATGGAAAAGTTTCTTTTTTTTTCATTGGAAAAAATTGTTTGTTTGCTTTTTTGGACACCAAAAATTTTTTTCTGTATGGTGACAATATTGACTGAAGGAACACTTATGAACTGGTAAAGAGAAACATTAAAGAATCACGGAAAAAAAGCCGGAACTATGTAGCAAACGAAAAAAAGGCAAGGTTCTTCATTTTCATTGAAAAATTGAAAGAAATTTGGTTTTTTTTCTTTATCGATTCAAACAAAGTTAGCCGCTAAAGTGGACAACAACAACAACAACAAGGGGTTTGAAACCAAAGAAAAAAGACAGAAATGTGTCGATCAACAATGATGAATTTGACAAGAAATTTTTTGGGCAAGAAAAAAAAGAAATATCCAACATGATTGACACATTGAATTGATATTCAATCATCAGATTTCAAATGTTCATTTTATTCAATTCAATTTGATTCAAATCAATCACAATCGAACGAGAAAAAAAAATATTCAATTCGATTCAGTAACAATTTCTTTTCTTTTTTTTCTCATCAATGTCGATGTAATTAAGAGTTTATTAACCATAAAAAAAAGTAGGTAGGCTATGAACTGACCAATGAACCAAAAGTCAATCAAATTTAGAAATTTCTGATTTTTTGGATTTAAAACCAATGACCGGTCATCATTGATGATGATGACATATTTTTTTCCTATTAGCAAAAAATTATCCATTTTTTGAGGTCAAAAAAAATGAATGAATCAATGGGTCATTTGTAGTTTCCAATTTACAAATTGATTATTATTTATGCGATTTCTTTTGAAAAATGAAATCATCTAATCAGGCCAAAGTGTGTGTGTGTGGGTGAATTCCATCTACCTAAAAACTGGAATAAATTGACCAGATATTTATGATGATGATCAGTGTGAAAACTGACCAAAAACACACGAACGCGTAACGAATTTTTTCCATTTTCTTCTTTTCTTCAGACGAAGATTGATTTTTTTTTCATAAACTTTTAAATAAATTTAATTTTTATTGACCTCTCTCTCTGGTATCTCGGTCAGGTCAATTCATTCATTCATTCACTTGCCAAAGCAAAATCTCATTACAAACAAACCGGAAAAAATTTTACCCGATTATTACCANCCACTGATAATACTACCCTTCTTCTTCTTCCATTTTAGAAAAAAACAAGCTTATAATTTGATTATTTATGATTGGAAGAAAAAGAAAAGATAATAAATAAGTGAAAATTATTATAATCATCACGATAATCATTCAATAAATAAATAATATCCAAGAAAAAAAAATGATAATAACTTTTTAAAACTTTCTTGCTTCGTCTGTAGTAGTTTTTGTCCTTTTTTTTTATAAAGCCAAATTAGCCATGGGTTACAAATCATAGATCAAAAATGATCATGATTTTCACTAACACACACACACCATAAAATCAGATGGTCAGTGTTAACAACAAATGTTTCATGTTGTGTGTGGGCATAAATCATCGAAATAAATGACGACGAACAGGTCATCAAAGGTGGTAGTTGTATTGGAATGTTCTGGTAGTGATGAAATAAATCATCGATAAAAACAATATTGATTTTTTCCCTTTTCTGAATTCAATTTTGAATGATAATTTACTTGACCTAATCGACAGTAAATTATTATTATTATTTATGAATGACAAATCTGTTATTTGTGATGATGATTTAAGACCAAAAAAAAAAAACCCTTTGATTTTTATGAAACTTTTTTTTGGTAGTCATCATGCAGAACACACGTGCAGAAATCGATCAGAAAGACACTGGAAAATCGCTGAACATATTTTGTATTGGGTGGTCGTCAGATAAATCAAATTTTTTTAAAAATTTTAAATTTTAAAAAATTAATTTTGATGAAAATCGATGAATTCGTCCTTGATCTTGAAAAAAAAGTTTTTCGAAAGTTTCTTGACCATCATTTCATAACGGTGATCAAATGACAGACCAACACATTTGATTGAATTGACCAATTCACAATTGGTGAAAATATTTTTTCAACAAAAAAGAAGGAAAGAATGAAAAAAGTTAATCCTCGTCGTTGTTGTTGTTTGGATCATTTTACATTTATTTACCGTAAACACTGGGATTATAAAAAATTTTTTTTTTTAAGAAAAAATCGCCAGCCTTTTCAATTCAATTTGAAAATTTCCTTTTTCTTTCTTCTGGCGTTTTTCACTTATGGATCATTTGAATATTTGGATTGGACAAACAGTGAAAGAAAGAAAGAATGAAAGAAGACAACGACAAGCAAAACAGAGACACACAAATAGGAGTCAATGAGGGTCAACATAAGAAAAAAGAAAAAAGAATAATCTTCCAAGCCGTTCATTTTCATTTGAAAATTTTTTTAATCCTTCATTCTCCATTCACACAATTGTCCAATCCGTTAGCCATTATAATGT